TGGTTGGGGTTTCAAAGGCCTACAACTATCTTGAGATGTCCTAAAAATGAAATATCTTTAATATGTCCTAAATTGTATGTGTTTTTATTTAATTTCAAGAGTCTATTATTAATTGATATGGAAAACCCAAGTCTCGTTAATTTAGGGGTAAGTGGTGCTAAACAAATTTAATTTTCCTGTGGGTTTTTATAGCTTGCACTCTGTGAAATGAGTTGGCTGTGGGGAACATCTATATGGTGAAGGTTCGATTGAAAAGATAATGTCTTTCTGTTGATCCAATTACAAATTTGATGTCAACTCTCTGATTTGTCCTTTGCTGAAGAACAAGTGCCCTTTGAAAAACAAGGATACCTACTGTATCAGTTTCTGATATAAGGTTTTCCGACCAAGGATTATAGGTTTTTTTTTAAATTGAATGTTGACTGTTTGTTAGGATGATAATGCTGACGTGGAGCTGATCTTGTTACTTTACTGATTATGATTCTATATGCTGCTACATTTTATTATTTATTTTCAAATCCTTTTGTCTATCTTCAATGCAGCATTTTGACACCCTATTACACGGAGGAGGTTCTCTTTCCTCTACGTGACCTAGATGAACCAAACGAAGATGGAGTTTCCATCCTTTTCTATTTGCAGAAAATTTATCCAGGTATTTTGTTATCTGTAGCTTGGAATCTATAGACTTACAAAATTTTATGGAAGTTAGCATTATTTACATGTGTTATCTGTAATAACTTACTTCTTTCCCTTAATTTCTAGATGAATGGACCAATTTCCTTGAGCGAACAAATTGCAAATCTGAGGAAGATCTTAGGCAAAGGGAAGATCTGGAAGAAGAGCTTCGACTGTGGGCATCATATAGGGGCCAAACTCTGACTCGAACTGGTATGATATTTGGTGCATCCCATGAGTTTGCGTGGAAACTAAATTTCCTTGTGAATTAGAATATTCGGTGTCTCATATTTGACTTTTCTTTATAAATCTAAATTGAAAGTTTCTTGTTCACCGTCTGTTATCATGACTTTCAGTCAGAGGTATGATGTACTATCGAAAAGCTCTGGAATTGCAGTCTTTTCTTGATATGGCCAAGGATGAAGGTATTCTTGTAATTTAGCACTTGGTTGTTGAAAAGAGATCTTGGCTAACAGTATTCATATAGTCATATAGTTCTGGTTTGCCGCTGATTGTTCTAATGTTGTATCATTCAGATCTTATGGCAGGCTATAAAGCAATGGAATTAACTTCTGAGGAAAGTTCAGGAAGATCTTTGTGGACTCAATGCCAGGCTGTAGCTGATATGAAGTTCACATATGTTGTATCCTGCCAGCAATATGGAATTCAAAAACGGTCTGGCGATCAACGTGCACAAGATATTCTAAAACTGATGAGCACGTATGTCTGAAAGTCTAGTTTTTACAATTTGTATATATATGGGAAAAATGAATTAAAGAATTGCATTACCATGCCTAGTGAGCATCATCTCCTTTTCATGTTCTTGTAAATCAACGTGATAGCTTAGTCTTATATTATGCACAAAAATTATAGTTGACTATCAATCTTAAAATTGTACTTTAGTTTTCTGAGTATTTTGATTGTCATATATCCTAAAGTTTTCATTAATTATGTGAATATATTGGTGGTCAGGTATCCATCATTACGAGTGGCTTATATTGACGAGGTTGAAGAACCTCGCGGAGATAGAACAGTTGAGAAGGTCTATTACTCTGCTTTAGTGAAGGCTGCTTTACCAAAAACTGATAATGCGGCGGAGGCAGTACAAAATCTTGATCAGGTGATGACCTGTCTTATTTTAACTTACACATCAATTTCTTACAGAAGTGTTCTATAATCTTCTTAAACACACACTTCTTAATTTTCTTGCAAAACTAAGTGGGAAAAAATCCAGTTTATTCTGAACTTGTAATTGATTCTGATAACACCAATACTTTCCTTGCTTTGGCTATTATTTTGTTCATTTCTTTTACTTCCAACCTTCTGCATAGCACCCTGTTGGTGCCGTGTTATATGTCTACTCTACTAACCATCTGATACTTTTCTAATCTCTCATAGGTCATATATAGAATAAAGCTCCCAGGTCCTGCTATTCTGGGGGAAGGCAAGCCAGAAAATCAGAATCACGCCATTATATTTACACGCGGTGAAGGTTTACAGACTATAGACATGAACCAGGTAACCAGTGATCTGCTTTTCAGTTGATTAGCTTGCCACAGCCTTAACACCTCTTATCAATTTTACAGGACAACTATCTGGAAGAGGCCTTGAAAATGCGAAATTTGCTGCAAGAGTTTCTGCATAAACATGACGGTGTGAGACATCCATCTATACTTGGAGTTAGGGAGCACATATTTACTGGGAGGTTTGTGACTTTTACATACCTAAGAAGGAAGCGTAATCCTGTAGCACTAGGCGTAATTTCCTCTTTATGGTTAAAAACTAATTTGTTGTCAGCTTTTGCCATGCAGTGTTTCTTCTCTTGCATGGTTCATGTCGAACCAGGAGACTAGTTTTGTTACTATTGGCCAACGGTTGCTTGCGAACCCTCTCAGGTGATCCCCTAGTTTTGACACTTTCTTTTTCCAGAAATCATAGATATGTTAGTTATGAGGAATAGATTGATGATAATGTTCTCGCAGAGGTACTGTTTTGTTATCCTGTTATGAGTATTTGCAGTCTATTCAGCCTTTTTAGTATGATATTGCCAGAATTGTATACTGCCCTGCACTTTTGTAGATGGGTGCACATGATTAACTGTCGCATTTTTCTAAATACTAGTATAGTGCACGTGCGTTGCTCGTGGACCTATTTGTTTTATGTTCTAAAATATTTTATGCAATTAAATATATATTGTATGGAAAAGTTTAATTTTGGATGTAATTATGACTAACCTTGAGGACGTATTTGTAATTTTCTCCTAATTAAAACCCTAGACTACATATAAATATTGGCGTCGTTTATTTTTGAAGGGGTTAATTTGTAGATCTTATGAAGTTATAGGGTTCTTTCTATAAATATATGAAAGCTTAGGGTTCTTTCTGTAGATTATGAACATCTAGGTTTTTTTTGCTTTGGCAAAAATTTTGAGGTTTATTCTATAAATTTTACTAATTCCTGGTTTTTTTTAAAAATTGGGGATTTTTGATAAAAATTTGCAGGTTTTGGAATACCCAAAAGACGCAAATCTATTTTTTTTCAAAGCCTAAAAGATAGTTTTATTTACTTATAATTTAAGATAACGTATGCCATAATTTTATAGATACTCGTGGTTTTATTTGCAAAGTCGGAATACAGTTTTAGCATTAAGATGGGTAAATAAAATACTTAATTGTAAAATATAACTTTACTGATTTTCAACTGATTGCAACTTTTGGGATTTTTTCTGCAAAATCTACAAACTCTGCAAGTTATGGATGCATTTTCAATGTTTGTAAGTTCCAGGACTTTTTGAAAAAAATGCAATTTCTGAAAGTCTTGTGTATTTTATGTAAATTCTACAAATTCTTAGGGTTGTTCTATAAAAAATTGCAAATTGTTGAAGTCTCTTAGGATCTTTAAATTTAAAAACTTGATTTTGATTACTCTTTTATTAAGAGTGCACTCATTCACTATATGTAAACTATGCTTTATACATTATTGTAATTTATAAACTGTGTATGTGCATCACATCTCTGTAAAGTAAGTATCTGATTATTTAACCTATAAAATTAGCACTTAATTACCATACTAAGAACATAATATTCTTTCATAAACTTGAATCATTGTATCTAACACTTCTACTGGAGTTAATAGAGCTAGCTTTCTATTTTATTGAAATTATGGATTTCCTTTATCAATTTCGTAAAAAAAAATGCAATTAATGGAGATAAATATATGTGTTATCTGTAAATATTATTGAGTTAAAATATCCTGCATATAAATATTTCAAGTTTACTTTACGTTAATAATTTCCTTGTGCAATAAAAGGAATATTATCTTATATACAAATCTTAAAATATCTTTATGGCAGGCAATTATCATGATAAGTCAGTAAGTATAGCACAATAATAGTGTTTTAAAACTTTATCTTGAATATTTACAACGCTCAAGTAAATCGATAAAAAAGAATTCTCTCTTTCTTCCATGTATAACGCCAAGAAAGTTTAGTTCTGGATTCTTTTGCTTGTTCTTCCTTGATCCTTTGTCATACCGTATCAATGCACCACAGTATTCAGGCCTATAGCGTAGCGCCAATGTCCCAGTAACATGAGATTGTGAACAAAGATTTACAGCAAACTATTTATGATTTTATATCGTTACATAAAAATGAATATTGAAATACGTTGAATATAATACCGTCTTCTACTGCATAAACAAAGTTACGACTATATAAGAACATTTACGACTACAATACATGATATTTATGATTACATATCATTACATAAAAATGAAGATTACAAGAATCATATAAAGAAATCGAATATAATACCATCTTTCTACTATATAAACAAAGCTTTCGACTATAAAAGAATATTCATGACTAAAGTACATGAAATGCATCAAACTAATAAAAAGATAAAAGAATAGACACCTTGAAAATGGAATAACAACTTTTAAATTGAGAAATGATCAACTTCTAGTATTAATTTTATGCTAATTTATGTGTATGGTATCTGCAATTTCTAAATTGAGAAAGTAGATGAATTTATGATTTATTGCTTCAAGTTATTTCGATTTAGATCCCAAATGTTTCCTGATGCACATCCAACAAAAAGATGTCAGCTTATTAAATTAGCAAAAGTATAAAAAGAAAGAAAAATGTGATCTTGTAAAGAGAAATATCCAAGAACAAATTAAGTAAAGGACATGGGAAAAAGGATTATGCTTCAATAGGAGGTGCTGTGGGTGGTGGAAATAGAAAATGAAATGAACTGCTATAGGCAAGTCAATCTGAAGTGTATGTGAGAAACAATGGATCTTAGTTCTAGAAACAAATATAATAATAATAAACCAAACAAAGTAGTAACACAAAAATTGAAGCAATACCTAGCAAAAAGACAGACCTTTAAGCGAGCATTTGATTTAAGATGTGAAGGGCATGATAAATTCTTGGGATTTATAGTTGTTCTATTAGAAGATGAATAGTTGTAACTTTTCTTATAATTATGATAGTAATAATTAGTGAGAGTAAATACATGAAATGACGTTAATTGGGGGTTACAGGAGAAGGATGTGAAGTGGCATGAGTTATGTATGTGTTGTAACATAAATTGGAGGGTATTCTGGGAAGAAATGTTTTAACATGGCACCACACTTTTATAATAGTATTAGACCAGATTAGATTAGATAGATATTAGATGATAACATCTAGTTAGAAAAATCATTCTTTAGTTTAGTTTCACAATTGTAACTTATGTCCTATAGCTAAAGAACTTAAAATCTAAATATTCATCTAATCGGATAAATTTAACGGACACTGAGATATTATATCCAAACATCAAAAGTGTGTGAGGTCCATGCTTTGCATACAAAAGGTAAAGCATAAACCTGTGAACTCCTTGAGTTTTCAAATTTTATATTTTATATTTGGTAAATCTTTTAAAATTCTACTGGTCGGCTTCAGCTTACTCACCTCCTTGTAATCAAAAAGAGCATCCTAGAAGCTGATCACTGAATTAGTTCAACATATCTTGCTTTGAGCCGTGGAAAAAAGTGGGTAAAATTTGTCTCAGGAGACTTATTTAGAGAGAATGAAGGAAGGGAGGGTCTCTCTACATGGATAGAAAAGCATACACAATGAATCACCTTGCATTGTTCTAAATACCCCTGACATGGCCCGCTATGTCGCTTGATATATTCTTTTACAGATCTTGCTGCAACTGATATGGTCTCTAAATATCATTTACTGCTTTTTGGCTATTGTGGACATTATATCCCCGATATGGTTGATATATCAGCCGATATGTTGGCCTATATATCATTTTATATGACTTGTCACAAAACAATATGTTTGGTAATTTTTGGGTGAGATATCATGATTTTTCCATTATATTAAATGACGTTTGGTCTAAAAAAATCAAATGAAATGTTGCAATATTGATTTGTACTTTTATTTGTTTTACAAGGTTGATTAGTTATCCTAAACATATATTATTTATATTTTGTTTGCTTAGATTTTATTAAGTATGTTGAGATTATATTTTAGTGCATTATATTATATATGTAAACATCTGTTATGAGATTCAGATATTTACCACATATCTCTGATATTTACCACATATCTCTGATATTTTCCCGATATCCGCAATCCGATACGAATTTTGGCTATCCAATATTTCCCCGATGTCCGATATTTAAAACCTTGCAGCCTAGCGAGATAGCGATTCCGAAAATTGGAATCCATTTTTTATTCACCTTTAGTGATTTCATTCTCTTAATTTACTGCTCATGTAGCTGTATCTCTTATTTGGTTTATGGTTTAAGTATTACTTCTGTTGGGAGGTGGAGGATAGGATTAGTCTGCCTAGCCAAGAATTGTTTGGTTAAGTTTGTTGCATTATCTCTGCTTGTGAGAATGCTTACCATGTGAATTTTAACCAATGATTCAAGCAGAATGCTAGACCACAGAGTTGGTCCTTTAAACTATTTAGTATACAGATTGCTAGACATTTTTTTCATGAGATCCTTCTGTTTCTGTTGCTGCTCAGGGTTCGATTTCACTATGGTCATCCGGATGTGTTTGATAGACTATTCCACCTCACAAGAGGAGGTGTAAGTAAAGCATCCAAGATAATTAACTTGAGCGAGGACATATTTGCAGGCATGGTTTTAACTTCTAAAATAAATCTAGTTATTGTGCTTGCTCTATTTATATTTCTTATATTTTGGCTCCAATCTGCAGGTTTCAATTCTACACTTCGTGAAGGCAGTGTTACTCATCATGAATACTTGCAAGTTGGTAAGGGGAGAGATGTGGGTCTTAATCAGATCTCACTATTTGAAGCAAAGATTGCAAATGGGAATGGAGAGCAGACACTGAGTCGTGATATTTATCGTCTTGGACACCGTTTTGATTTCTTTAGGATGTTGTCCTGTTATTTTACCACCGTAGGGTTCTACTTCAGTACCTTGGTACGGCTTCCATCTTTTGCCATTAAATATCTGTTTTGGTTAATAATCCTTTTAATTAGGTTGATCTGTATTTTTCTTTTGCTGACAGGTGACGGTCATTATAGTGTACATATTTTTGTATGGGCGACTCTATCTTGTTCTTAGTGGACTTGAAGAAGGTCTATCAACTGGTAGAAGGTTTAGCCATAACCAACCCCTACAGGTTGCTCTTGCTTCGCAATCTTTTGTGCAACTAGGATTTCTCATGGCTCTACCTATGATGATGGAAATCGGTCTTGAAAAAGGATTTCGTAAGGCATTAAGTGAATTCATCCTGATGCAGTTGCAGCTAGCTTCTGTTTTCTTTACATTTTCTCTTGGAACCAAGACCCACTACTATGGCAGGACATTGCTTCATGGTGGTGCTGAATATAGAGGTACTGGTCGTGGGTTTGTCGTTTTCCATGCCAAGTTTGCCGACAACTACAGGCTCTACTCTCGTAGCCATTTTGTGAAGGGAATTGAGCTAATGATCTTGCTTGTCGTTTATGAAATCTTTGGACAATCGTATAGATCTGGAGTTGCATACATATTTATCACTTTTTCTATGTGGTTTATGGTGGGAACCTGGCTATTTGCACCTTTTCTGTTCAACCCGTCCGGCTTCGAGTGGCAAAAGATAGTTGATGACTGGACCGATTGGAATAAGTGGATCAGCAATCGTGGAGGAATTGGTGTATCAGCAGAGAAAAGTTGGGAGTCTTGGTGGGATAAGGAGCAAGAGCATCTGAAGTATTCTGGGATTCGTGGGATCATTGCTGAGATTTTGTTAGCATTACGATTTTTTATCTATCAGTATGGGCTTGTCTATCACTTGAACATAACAAGAAAGACTAAAAGCATCCTGGTAGTTTTTCTGTTCCTTTATTTTTATTCGTTCATGGTATTTCATTTCATGTTGTAATATAGGGAACACATCTCACTGTTTGATCAATTGTGTTTTCAGGTTTATGGAATTTCTTGGCTTGTGATATTTGCTGTACTGCTTGTCATGAAGGTAATTTTCTCGAACTTCAGTACCTTGCATCATTAATGTTAGAAAGTCCTACATGGTAACATAATTGGATTAATTTTACTCGGTTCCAATTTGCGGATGTACTGAGTTAGCATTCCATTATAGCCTTCTTCCCAGTATGCTCACAGTTATTATTTCTTCTTTATTCAGACGGTATCTGTAGGAAGGAGGAGATTCAGCGCAAATTTTCAGCTTGTTTTTCGGCTGATCAAATTTCTGATCTTTGTGACATTTGCGTCCATTTTGATTACTTTGATAGCCATCCCTGGTATGACACTTCAAGACATAATTGTATGCATCCTTGCATTCATGCCGACTGGTTGGGGTATACTCTTGGTAAGCGAATCATTCTGACCACTTAATTTATTTTTTATGATATGCTATCAAATTTAATGTTCTTGGGTTAATTGCACATAGATCCCCTGTAGTTTCACTGGTTAGAAGTAATTACCCCTGTAGCTTCATTGTTGGCCCCTTTGGTTGAATTCCTTTATTTATCTATCTATTTATTTTCATGGATTTTTTTTGTTTATGTTTATGCATCAGGGTGAGATTAGTGAGTCGATCTGAAGAAGGTAGAAGAGTCGAAAAAATTTAATCCCGTTTAGTTTTACTTGTTAAACTAACTACCCATTTGGCTTCATTGTTGCAGACAGAAAACCTGGGTTGAATTTTTTTACTCTTTTACGCATATATTGCCTTTATTTGAAATTTGGGAGTCTATCTGAAGGCAGAATTAAAAAAAAAAAAAAGACCCAAGCGGCCTCTCTGCAACAATGAAAAACTATGGGGGTAGTAACTTCAAAACAGCAAAACTACAGGGGTCTATGTACAACTAACCTAATGTTCTTTTGTTCTTCTATTATTGACGTGAACCTTTTATTGCAGATTGCACAGGCTCTTAAGCGAGTTGTTCGCAGAGCTGGGTTATGGGGATCGATACGTGCACTTGCACGTGGATATGAAATCATAATAGGATTACTCCTTTTCACTCCGATTGCATTTTTGGCGTGGTTCCCATTTGTTTCTGAATTCCAAACCAGGATGCTCTTCAACCAAGCTTTCAGTAGAGGTCTGCAGATTTCTCGTATTCTTGGTGGGCAAAGAAAAGAACACTCATCTCGCAACAAGGATTAAGATAAGCCTCAGCAGATGTTTATTTGTCTGTTGTAAATCTATTGTAATTTAGTACATCTTATTATTATAATTGTATGTCAGGACAATCAGCAATGCGAACGCATTGTTAGGTTAGAACGCAGTCTCTTTCCTTGTATGGAAAGATGCTGTAAGCTGTATGATATTAGTATTTTCATGTTTATTAGTTGTGTATTTGTGGTGAACTTTTGTGTCTTACACAATCCTTGGCCAAATTTTGTTACTAGATTATATCCTAGTTTTTGGCGGGCAACATAGCTTTCTGCTTACTTACCCGTTTATGTGCTGTTTTCAATTTGATGCCTGAAGATGTGTCATGTGATGCGTATAAATTGTTTCATCACTTCGGTAGAATTATCTTCTCTTTGGTAGAATTATCACTTAATGCGTATAAATTGTTTCATGACTTCGGTAGAATTATCTTCTCTTTGGTAGAATTATCACTTTATTCTTTGCTCTTTTCCTGACTTTTCTCTCTGAATGGTGAGATAAAACCCTTTTACATATCAAGGGTGAGATTTTACCTTTCTAGCTAACTTGTAGATTTCATTGTGGATTTAAAAACCCCGCATTAGATGCTTGTATGGAGTATATTATTATTTACAGAGCCACGTGTATTACCTTCTCTTCACAAAATAATAACTGAAAAGAGAAAAAAAATAAAAAGAAAAGTTAAGAACAGAGAATCTCTTCAATGCGATTGTCTTTCTTGCACTCATCAGACTTTTGAGTCTTCCGTTTTTATGATAACTGAGTTGAGATGCACGTGTAATGCACGTGGTCAAATATCACGATTATTTAAATTGATAAAAATAGAATAAAAATAAAAAAGAAAATAATTTTTTTTGTGGGGTTGATCATCAACTCAATAATCTCTCTTTCAAATAAAATATTGTTATTGTTTTCTCCAACCTAGACTGGCCACGTGATCTACTATTTGTGAGTTATAAACACATTGAACTAGTACAACATCTATGCTTATTAGTATCGTGAAGTCTTCAAAAGTTGGGTGATCATTCAATTCGCGAAGGAATTTTGCATATGAATTTACTTGCAATATGTCCATTAAACCTTTAATTGTGGTTTGACTCATATTTATATTAACTTTTAGTTGTGGTTTCACTCATATTTACATTATCTAATATTTTTATTTAATTTTATAGCTCATTCTCCATATCATCGAAGTAAAACTGAAAGTATGAAGAATTATTTTATTGCGAAATTAGAGCAGAAAGATTATGATATATTTCGCCATGTGCTCTAAATATAATTGTTTTTCTTTGATGCAAGGTCCTTATTAAATCTTAGCCTAAATGATGTGAATTAAAAAAGCTATTATAACTCACTTGGCTAGGCAATTGTGTTGTATATATGACATATAACTTATTTGGAATATCCACATCTACTAAGTGGATTTTACTGATGTGAGAGCAAAATGTTAGAGGCTCGTATTTATATTTTTTGACTCTATAAAAGACATAAGAATTTGGAGCGCATAGCTTATATATTGTAAAGAACATACTGGTTCATGAAGAATTTTCTCTAATAACGATATTATATAAGATTATATGATCATTTTTAATAAATTATAAAATATATATGTGGAAACCTTGATGCTTGTAGCCAGTAGTTGGGCTCCACAAAATAGGTTAACTTTACATTATACTTTGTTATTAGTAGTACTGTTGACAATGTCATTATTTTTTCTCTTTATCTTATTATTCACACTTTTTAATGTAAATTCTCTTTTGCTAATCACTCAATTGACGATATTTAGTTTTTATAATATCAAATGTTAGAATATTCTCTTCTGCTTAAAAAATGTTAACATGATTTTCTTAAAATATATATACATGTAGTAGCAATAATATATCTTTCAGTTCAACTCAAACATTGGTTTGAAGCCATTTAGAGTGAGGTTTTTTCTACGCTAGAATAGTGATATAGTGATTACACAATCCAAAAGTTAAAAGAAGAAATTTCTACAAAGAAAAAGTAATTTAATATGTCAAATTAACAATTTTTGTAAAATATACATGGACAGTGCAGATAGCTATAGAAAGTAATGTATATATTTTTATAAAAAATTCATAGTGAGTGACCAACTACAATCATCATAATTTAAACATAAATAATTATTAATTTAGTTACTAATTTGATACGCATAAATATGGAATAAATCTCAAGAAAAAAAAGGAATTGAGATTGTATTATCCTGTAGGTAAATAAATAAATGTTATTAGATCTCTCTTTATATTAAATTTAAAAGTACTAATTTAAGTTATTAAGTGCTAAATATTAGTTTATGTGAGAAAGTAAAGTAACCTATGGTCTATATACCTATATAGTCAACAATAAAATGTATTAAAATTATGATAACCACAGCCAAAATTATATGATGGGTTCACATTAAATATAATTTATAAAAAATAGTTCATTTAAGGTAAAATCCTTTTAACCACTATATAGATTGTCTAAATTTTTTTTGCATATATAAACTATACTACCTAGGAATAGTGATGTGAACACTTAACTATAACCTAATACATTTTAAAAACGACTTACTCTTTAATATCATCATTAATTGACATATTTATGTATCTGCAAACACAATGAAAAATTAGAAAACTGAAAAAAAGATACCCTTAAATGTTTTAAAAATTGTAAAAAAAACCCTAAAATTTTATAATTTACAAATACACAAAACTATTAAATATTATATTGAAATCGAGGAATTATAAAAAATCATTGAAAATTTTCAAACTTTGGAGGGGTAACATGCAATGCACTAAATTTCAAGGCTATTTTTTATAAATTTTAAATTTAATAGATTTTTTAATTAGTTATGTTCTTTTCCAAAAAAATTATGAGTAATATTATTCATAAAAAGTTTTTTTTAAACCTGTACTTTTAAAGAGAGAATGATATTTTTTTGTAAATTTTTAATTTTCTAAGGGTTGTTAGTAGTTTTGTATATTCATTTTAGTGTCTATAGGTTGAACTTCTCATTGTGTTTCTTTGTATATTATTAATTTTAAGGGTTTTTTTGCAATTTCTTAAACTTATACACCCTTTTCTACAGAGTATAAATTGTTTATAGACTATTTATAATTCCTAAGTTTTTAATTTACTAATGAGTTTGAAATTCTCATGGTGTTTTTTATAAAATTTGAATTTTCAGAGTTTGCTTGTAATTTTTAAAAACTTTAAAGGATTGTTTACTATAAATTATAAATTATGTAGGGGATATTTATAATTATTATATTTTTAATGTACTGTTAGGTTAGAAATTATCATGATTTTTATAAATTTTATAATTTTGATGGTTTTATTTTGTAATTTGTAAAAGTTCAGAGTGTTTATTGTAAATTCATAAATTTTTGGGAGTTGTTTGTGTTATTTGTAGGTTTTTAGTGTGTCTATAGGTTTGAAATTTCCAAGGTATTTTCTATAAATTTTGAATTTTTAGGGTTGTTTTTACAATTTTAAAAATTACAAGATATTTACTCCATAGTAAAAAAAATTCAATTTCTAGCGAGCATATGCTTTTCATATTTCTCACTAAATTGAAATAAGTAAAATTTATAATTTTCAAGATGTTTAAAAAAATTTTGAATTTACAGGGGTGTTTTTGCAATTTTAAAAAATTGGAGGATATTTTTTACAAAGTCCAAAAACTTTTCGGTGCTCGCTAGCACATGTTTTTAGATTTCTCTACGAACTAAAATAAGTAATTGATTTGAATTATATTAAACGTATTTCCTTTATCTAATAACATGTTTAAGTCTCATTATGAATAGATAAAGGTAATGGTCACTGGCCACCCTCCACCGCCGCCGCCACCATCCGTCTCCGCTCGTCGGCCACCGCCCACGGCCACCCGTCACCGTCGCCGCCCGCCGGTCACCCGCCACCCGCCACCGTCGCGCCACCTGCCGTTGGCCGGCCCAGCTACCCTCCACCGCCTGCCACCACCACTACCCTGTCGTCGCCTGTCGGCCGTGGCCCGCCAGCCGTCGCCCGCCGTAGGTTGGTCACCCGCCGTCGCCCGTCGTCTACCTGCCACCCGTCGGCACCCGTCACCGCCCGTCGGCTACCTTCCACCCGTCGGCCCCCAGCGGCCCCAGCCGCCGCCCGCGGCGCGCGCGCGGCACTCGCCGCTACCCGCTGATAGCTGACGGTCGTCGTTAGCTCGCTGCCGTCGGCCGGCCGCCAGCCACCGCCACCTGCCCGCCGCCACCCCCGCCCCGCCCACTGCCGCTATATAAATGGTCAAACTAGTTTGACCAAAATGATGTTTTCAAAATACATTTGAAAAAGAAACACCATGGCATGATGTTTTTTACAAAAAAACAAAAAAAAAACACATTGATTATCAAACACACCCTTAATTATCAATTCAAAGAATATAAGATAATTAGAATAGATTAAGATAACAATGTAGCATTTAAAAAAAGTTAAGAGTAATATTGACCCTAGAAAAATTTTCCTGAAGTCGTACTTTTAAAGGGAGTATGATAATTCAGTTTCTGCTGGCCTTCTGCAGAAGCAAGTAAACAAAAATGATACCCTTATCCCCTCGCATTATCCTGATTTTGTTGTCAACATATCTGCATAATACAAGAAATGTTCAGTGCTAAGCGCCGTAGTCTCAACGTATATGCATCTTCAATTATGGTCAGCTTTGCATTAAGTTTTACTGTTAATTGACTCACAGCAGTTGCATCGTGTATTCGCTTTTGACTTCCGCAGGAAATCTGAGTCCACCGACAAGAGCGTATCCACTGTCCACGGAGACACTGTAAGTATTTCCGTCTACTGTTTTACTGCAAGTTCGACGAGTTAGTACTTAATATGGTCGCCGGTGACATTTGAATATCGACGAAGGATCGATGTATGCGTCTTTCCTTCAATTATGCAAGAAACTCCAAGGAAAAGAAAAGAAAAAGGATCCGAAATCTCACCTGATATTTCCAATTGCACAGTACTTGAAACCTGGAAAGAGTTGAACCTGGTTCTCAAACTGACCATTTTTCTTCACAACCTGCAAATTTGAAATATTAAATGTGTGTATATATGGAAGAAGAAGGAAAAAAAACGTTCATGAGATGGCAATTCATTTGTTGATGAACATCTTTAGCCCACCTGCAAGCCTTCAAGGCCACCAGCCGCAATAGTTTGCAAGCTTTGATCTTCTGACTGCAACAAAATTGCACTTTTGAAAGCAACAAGATAATTTTATGTAAGCAAAATACTGTTGGCTTAACAGACCTCTGAAACCCAAACTAATTGCCATTCTCCTTCTAGAGTTTCATTGTATCCTTCGCCTTCATTGTTCCTTAGGGAGACCAGCTCTTCTACAATCTGCTTGCAATTAATCACAATATCGACGAGAAACGTATAAACATTTTAATGGAACTGTACGTGTGCATCGGTTTGCACGTACCTCAGTCACTCCTCTAGACCCTGCGGATATTGCTTCGAGCAATCTTTGTCTCGGATCAGTTTTCTTTTGCAGCACAAAGGTTGTGCCCTGCACTATAATACGTTTCGAATCTCTAGCCGCGTATGAAACGTACGATGGCGCTAGAACGTCATTGAAGGTAAATTAATACATGGCTTACCTTGTTTCCTCTTGAGATACGTATGTTTCCGGCGTGAGATAAGTATGTGGTATCTAGCCATCCCTTTGCTTCATCGCCGAGAAGCTTGAAGGGAACTGGGTATGGAACCTTGAAAGGCAAAAATTTGAAGGAGAAGGCTGCGCGATCGAATTGGAATAGGATTCTTTTCCCGTCATTTATTCTTGCTGCAGCCTGCAGAAGAAAGATGTATGTGGGAGACCAAATTAGTCGATGAATTGAGACGATTATCCAATATAATAGCGTTAATAAAAATATAACTGTAGCACTTATAAAAACATTTGAAAACAGAATTGATGTAGCGGGAATAAAAAAATGGGGTCGTGCTTTGCACGGGGTGCACACTGGTTACTTTAATGCTCGAATCTTGTTGTTTCATAGTGATAGCAGAAGGACCATACCTCAACTTTAAGCTCACCTACTGCATCTGAGAACTTCACAATATTCGACACCCTTTGATCATCTGCTCTAAGACACACCTCTTGAAATACCTTGAAGAAATCAACTCCGACGAAGGTTCTCTACACAAGAACCGAAAGGAGAACATATATATTGCGAAATCTTAGAATTTCCTTTCGCGTAAAGAAAAGAGAGATTGCTTACTTGAATTGGCGACGCGGTTCCTGGTCTTGTAGTGAAAATAAGCTGCCATCGACCTTCGATCAAGCTCGAGCTCGTCTGAAGGAGATTCAAAGACTTTGTTACTAACTATTCAAGAGTTTGTTTATCTTTTTTTTGTTTGTGACTGCAAGCGCAGGACTCACAGGTTCAGGGACCCCTTTTATTTCCTCCAGTGCGCGGACTGCGTCTTCAACCTCCTATACATGTAAGAGCCGCAAGCATCAACTTCATTCTTCTCAAAGCGAAATTGAGAGCATTGAAGCAGCTAGGAATAATTAGTTACCTTCAACTGCTGAGGCGAGGCAGCGCGGCCTCTCCCTTGAATCCCGAGGAGAGCTTCAACAAGTGCGGATTCAGGCTCAGTGAATGAGAGGCTCTGTTCTTCTTCAACAACAGAAGAACAAACTGGGGTTGCGAAGAAACGAAACGATCTTTTGCGAAAGGGTTTGAGGGATTCTGGTTGAATCCGAGGAGTAAAAGGACTTGATTTCGGTGTACAAGGAAGATGGAAGCTTGGCCTTAAAGCCCCTACGGCCATTAGAGGAGCTTACTCTTGAACTTTTTTGTGGGACTAAAATTTGAGCATTTCTTGGTTGGAGGTTGAAGAGATGTTAATATGAGGGGCATATGTGGTTTGTGTTTGCGCGCGAGAGAACTTTATCTATTAGATATTATTATTTTTTGTTAAACGAAAAAAGATTTATTTTTATTATTTTCTTCATCATTTTACTTCCAAGGGAATTAAGTTTTTTTTTTTCATTTAATGAATCACAAAGTTGGTGGACGTTTATTCCACTTATCGTACGGACTAATTTGGTCAATCAGAACAAAGTCAACTTTTACATCCAATCATTTTATTGTCCACTCAAATCAAAATGGAGAAAGTATTCAGTGATTCTGATTCATCACATGTTATCGGAAACATATATGTCATTATAGTGAAGTTTTAGATTTGTACACTTACACAAGAAAAAAATATCATTATACTGTATTTTTAAAAATGAACAAAAACTACTGAATACTCTCTCGTCCTACTAAGATTTCAAGTTTAATGTCACCTCTGTTAATCATAAAAATCCATCCAAGTATAAAACTTGTTAGCCAGGGCAAGAGCATTATTAGCATGGTCCCTTGACATCTTGAAGTCAGCTTGAGTCCCTAAAACAGCTTGTTTCGGCTAAATTTTTTTATTAGGAAAAAAAAATTCAACTACGTAAATGTCAACCTCTTGACTTCTTCTCATTGCACAATTAACAAATGGAAACAATTGAAGAGCAACGTCCTCATAATTTCACCACCAAACAAGCAAACACAAAAATAACCTAATCATCCAACAAAGTCTATTTTGACTTGTTCAATATTCCACATATTAACATATGGAAATAGAAGAAGACTCATACCAATAACCAAATTCTCACAGATTTAATTCACACCAAGCAAGCAAAACACGAAGCACTAAATCATGATACCAATTAGGATCTTCGCCTCTATAAAAAAATTAGCAGAAAGATTACTACTTTATAACAGTTGTTGATTTTCTAGTAGATGACTGTTCATTTTAAATCTAGCATTTATCGTACTCTCACGAATTTCATCCATTCCTGATTTAAAGTAAATAAAAAAACAAATGAAAACCATCCACTAAATAAATTTAACGTCCGTGATGGAAGCAGTTGCCCCTCTACTACTTTTTCGGTAAGGGAGAGGAGTCGAATCCAATTCACGTTCCCTTACAGATCACCAGAATCTCCTCCTCCAAGAACAATCGAGCTCCCGATGTCGAAAAACCGTGCTACCCACCACCCATCTCAAGCCTCCATTGCGCCCCGCCGCCACAATGAATCCATTCACAACTCTGCCCCCAATCTGGTGCCCTGCACCTTCAACAACACCACCAACAAACTCCTCATCAGCCCTGGCCTCCCCTTCACTTCGAACTCCTACTCACTCCTTTTTTTTCCCCCATGCTATTACCACCCGCCGCCGCCGCCGCCGCCTCACACCCCAAATGCGCATCAAAACTCGCCACAGTGCACACCTATACAACCAGCTACCCTCTCCCCAACCCCCGCACGCATCACAGCTGAACCCCTTGTCACTCGTACGGCGGACAAGATACACCATCGCTCATGGGTGCGGTATCCGTTGCGCTAATGCACGACAGACAGCGCAGGCGACGCGCACGCGGGTGCAGTCGAAGCTGCAAGCGGAGCAGTGGTAGGAGAAGAAGATCCGCGTGATGGGAGCAGGCCCGTCGCAGTGGAAGTAGCCGCTCCGGCGGTAGCGGGCTAGGCCCTGCAGGATGGCGAGGGCGGGTGGGCTGGCGCATGCGAGGGTGCCGGCGGCATGCAGGGGAGGGCAAGGGTGAGGCAGGGGCGAGAGGTGGAGGTGGAAGGCCCGCAGGGGGGTGCCAGCGTGTAGGCCAAGGTGCAGGGGAGGGTGCAGGCCTAGCAAGGGCGGGCGGGCAGGCGTGAGGTGAGGTGGAGGGGTGTGGCGTGGTGGCTGGTGGTCGATGGTGTGGGTGGGTGAGTCTACCATTTTTTGTTGGCGTTGTTGTTGCCTTTTGGCTGAGATTCAGGTGTGGGCATAAGTATTGCGTTAGGGGGGGGGGGGGGGGGGTTAACTTGCGTATTGAGAAGGCTTAAATGTCAAAGTCAACTGGGGGAAGGTGGCTACAAAATCTTTGCGCTGTTGGCAAGGGCGGTAAGTAAAAGCGATTAAAGAGTTTAATATCTTTTTAACCGTCTAAACGCATTAATTTGATCGATACCTATGGTAACTAGCCTCCTTAAACGTTTTTAATTTGTCGAACCAAAAAAAACTCAACCCCTTCATATTGACTATCAAATCTAAGCGGAATTAGATTGTTTTTAGCCTCTTGAAAGGAGTTAATTAAATTTGTCCTGCCGCTTAACTTTTTTCCCTTAACCCCCTCGCCAAACGACACATAGCGGTTAGTTGCACATACACACCTTAATGTTTTGCAAGTCGCCTGAGAGTTTTCCAAAGGAAATCCCCATGTTTGTATTCCGAGGGTACTAAAGTGCAAATCTTAGAGACATTGGGACATATAAATGCTGTTAAAAACATTTGAGGGTGTATAATTGCAAAGCATGAGAAACTGTAAACCATTTGAAGTACCATTAAGCCAAACCTTTTTTGTTGGACAAATTTTCAAAACCAACCTATTTGGAAATTTAATCCCAGAAAACAACCCCTTTCAAACTTAATTGCAAAAGCCGACCTGGTTTCAGCCTTGGCGCTAAAACCAGGTCGGTTTTTATGAAAAAACTTCGGAAACTTTACGGGAGTTGAACTCCCGTGAAACTTCACGGGAGTTGAACTCCCGTGAAGTTTCGCAGTTCAAAAAAAAATTTGAACTACCAAACTTCACGGGAGTTCAACTCCCGTGAAGTTTCGGATAAATTTTTTTAAAAATCGACCTGGTTTCAGCTCCAGAGCTGAAACCAGATCGGTTTTTGAATTTTTTTTTAAAAGCGGTCTTTTTTTGAAAATAAATAGTGAAAAGGGGTGGTTTTGAAAATTTGTCCTTTTTTGTTTGAAGAGACATCCTACCGCTCGAAGCGTACCCATTTGAGCTTTCTCTTCCTGATCGCTTCAGCCAATTTCTCCATGAGAACAACAAAGTATGCCCTAATTTCTTCAAAGATCAAATCTTTATCAAAACGTAGACCTTCTCAGGCTTCAATCCCTAGTTCCCCGCTGCGGGGTCCAATCTCTACTCCGTCACCAAGCCCTAATCTGCGCATCTTCGCTCGGTCCTTGACAAGTTCTCGGCTTTGGGTTCTCTCCGACGAACTGAAAGAAATTGTTGGGTTGATCAGAAGAAATGAAGGCGGGATGGAATCCTACCTGAGTGCGAAAAGCCCGAAGCTTTCGCATTCGGCAGTTACAGAGATTCTTCGGTCCTTGAACAGTAGCAATGCTTCAGCACTGAGGTTCTTCAATTGGGTGCTGAGTTCTTCTCCAGGGTTTAAGCCTAATCCAGAAAGTTACAACCTTGTTATTGATAATCTTGGGAGATTACAAGACTTCGGTACTATGATCCTTTTGCTGAAACAGTTGTCTTTGCAAAAGCATTGCGTAACCGAGAAAGCCTTTGCTTTTCTCACATTCTTCAGTGGTTCTAGTCTTGAGGAGCCGGTGAGGAGAGTCACTGAAGTTTTGAATGAAGTCGGAGGGTCTTGTCGTGGCTCCGGGATTTTTTCGTTGATTAAGGTTCTGTGCAGATTGAATTCGTTTGATCTTGCAGTGTTTGTAATGGAGGAAACTGGGAGAAGAACCTCCTACTATAATGTGCTTATTGCCGCGAAATGCCGAAATGGTGATTTTCATGACGCGCGCAATGTGCTCGATGAAATGAGGAGGTTCGGTTGCGACCCGAATATGAACTCGTATAACTACTTGCTTGGGAGCTTGTTTAAGCACAAGAGGGTTGTTGAAGCTTGTGACTTGATGGAGGCAATGGAGGGCATGGGTTACTGTCCGAATTCGCTGACTTTTGAAATTGTTGCTATTCATGCGTGTAGGACTAATAAGATGGATTTTGGTATGGAGTTTCTGAATAGAATGTTGTCTGAAGGGATTAGGCCGAGGTTAACGATGCATGCAGCATTTGTTAAGGGTTATTTCTCCGCAGGGAGAGTTGATGATGCTTATAAGTATGTAAATGAGATGAGTGCTAAGGATAAATGCTCTGCAAATGTGAATTATAGCTTGCTTGCAAGGCTTTTATTGGCATCGGGAAGAGTAGTAGAAGCTGGTGGTATTCTTCACGGGATGATGGAGAAAGGTCTTAAACCAAACTTTCCTGTTTATGTGAAGGTAATGAAGGATTTGCACAAGATGTCGAGAGGTGATTTGTCATCACAGTTGAAATATATGTTTTCGAAATTTATTCCAAGTAAAGAGGCCAGGTGATGTTTCTGTTCATCCGTCTATTGATCAGGATTTTGAACTGGTGTTTCTGTTCATCTGTCTATCTATCAGCATTTTGAACTGCTCACATTTTACTGAAGGATTAAAGGCTATTGATTTAGAGTTGGAAGAGGGAGACCACCTCATCAGAAGCTGCAAAAAAAATGATGTGTTCGCTCAAGAAAAGGTAGCTTGTGTACATATCTATTTACTTATTATTGTCTGACCTCTAAATCTGTTGCGACAAGAAATTTGTTTATGTCAGTGGTTTTATTCTCAGAATAACTCCTCATGTTCATTCAGCAGTCTCCGGCAAAACTCGAGCCCGCGTGAACTTTTGATGAGATTTTAGTTGAAGTAAATATACACAAAATTTTAACTGGTTTAACCAAGTGCAGCAGCGCTAGCATGTCTTTTTCAGCACGAGTAAATCTGCTTTTTAGCTGACTCTAGCTTCTTTGAAATGAATGGAGCAAAAGATGGGAAACACCAATATTGGAGATAATTTATGAATTTTTTACGTGTATCTTGAGCTTTAGATTAAATATTAAGCTTTACAATCGAGAGCTGAAATCTTAACTCAGTTTTGTTAGGTTGAACCGTTGTAGTACCCTTCTTTGTCCTTTGTGTTTGTGCAGCTTCCTCCGTTTTCTTTTGAATGGAGGTAAAGGCAAGTGCTGGGGATTTTTTTTTTTTCTTCCTCTTTGTGTAACTTTCTGCCCCATCTCTGAACTTAGTAGACCTGAGCAAGATTTCACTATGTGAGCAAACTGCCTTGGTGATTGATGAGGTCTGCAAACCTCTAAATAACAAAAAAACAACCAATTGCACACATAAGACCAGCTTTCATGCTAGAGAAAAAGTAATCTCACTGAATCTGATACTACTTAGCAGAAGCATATGGAGTCAAACAGACTTCATACTTCCTTAGAACTAGGCTAGTAACAAAGTGACTCCGCGCATTATAGATTCCTTTACAAGCAGTTTAGTGGAAGTGGGACAGGTCCCATGCCTGTATATCCCTCTCCTGTCCGTATGCACAAGGCACCACTAGGTTTACTGGAGGTTTGCTTGTCAACCTACTATTTCTATGTTGGAACTGCACCTTAAGTGGAGCGTCGAACATCTCGATGTATTACTTCACAGTATAAACTTGGGTGCTTCAGTACCAGCATATGAGCTGATCATGTACATTTATTTACAAAAGTTGACCATATAAGTTTAATTGATTGTTGATCTGCATATAATTTAAATTTTATAGTTACCATCTAATGTCTTTCTAAAATATTTTTTGGTGCTTACATCTATATTGCAGAATTGAACTCTGTATAATCAGTATTTAGCATTTGTCAGGAAAGTCATGATTTCACGTTTGTTGGGAAACCAAAGCTATAATCAAGGGAGTGCAAAACTTGATTATCCAAGTCATTTGATAGGAGTGCTTTTCTTATTACATATTTCATTGGTAAGTGAGCATTTCTTTGAAGCCCGGAACCTATGAGTTTAAGCTTAGCGTTTACCTGACATGACATTAGAGTACTAGGCTTCAAGAGGTCTTAGGTTCAAGTATCATCACTGGAAATATAACATTATTTACCTGCCTTCATTTTTTATTTTTCCAAAATATCTTGATGTGGTTCATAGGCCCACATGAAGGGAAGTGCTAGATTGCAAATGGTGCGCGAGTACAAAAGAAATGAGTGAATGGGAAATCATTATATGTTTCATTTAAATCGTTACTAAATCTTTTTCTTTTTAAAGATATAGAAATCATAAATGAAAGCGGAAGCTGGTTGAAACTCAAAGTTGGGACAAATGGAAACTGAGTTATAAGCCTTTGCATATACATGCCTAAGCAGACTGAACCTGAACTGAAGCTTGCACACAAATTATCATGCTCAATAGAACCTTATGCACAATCCTGATCGCACACATGCGCACGCAAGCACGGACACACAAAAGGAAGAAAGAAAAGCCAAGAATTGGAGGCTCACTTGGGAATTTGCTGGCAACACATTAGATCGCACACCTAAGCGTCAAAAGCCACCTTTTTTCGTTATTCTGAGGTGTAAAAAATCAGAAGCCATTTCCTTGGAAATGTTGATAAAAATACAGTCTCCTTTTTTGATATCATATGATTCAATATGGTCTGCACAAAACCCAAAAGATTTTATGAGCTGCTTATGGGCTTTCTCATCTTGATTTGTTTTTTACCTTTTTTTTTATTTTTTCTTTTCTTTTTGGTAAGCCAGGATGGGGCGTTCTCAGCCAAATACACACACATACAAGCACATGTTTTTTCACTTTTCTTATAATGATAATTAAAATTTATTGAGCTGCAAAGACAGCAGATTATTTATGGCAAATATTTTATGTTGGAGCATTTGTTTCTCGATACAATTCCCAGTGTGAGAAATGTAACTATATGCTAGAAAGTTGTAATATGTCAGTTTTTGTTAATATGATATCAACACAAGTATAAATTCTCTATTACTTATTATTTACTGCGTTGTGATTCTAACCTATGTCTTTATTTCACCTGCAGCTTGTTGACACAATATATTCTCTACTACTTTAGAACAGTATGCTATATGCTAGGATGCTTTGATGAAGATAAAGGACTCGAGGTTCATATCACCAATGATCCATAAGCAAGCATTCTTTATGTTGCACTTGCTGGTCTTTTGTTTCAGTGTCTGCAAGTGAAGAGCGGCAGAAAAATGCTGCTGCTCATTTTTTTTTTTTTAACATTCAGCAATGAGGATGAACTGTGATATGGCAGAACACCGGGAATCACATATAGGATTAAATAGGATCTCAATTTTGGCATGAAGGTCAGAGAATTGAGAAAGGAGGAGGGCGAAGGTGCAATCTACGAACTCACTCTCCTGCAGCAGGCAGAAAGAGAACTGGTATTGATTATTCCTAGAACTTTGCCCTTCAAATCAAATCTATTGTTACACACATACAATTATTTGTTTGGCAGAATAATTGCTAGTTTCTAGCTAATTCCTTTAGCAAAACAGGGCCTTCTTACTCAGAACTTCATAGAAACAAAACTACAGAACGTTCTTTGTTTACTGCATTAATTCAGCAGTTACTAGTTCTCCAGTGCGCGCGATACGTCTACAACATAGTAAACTTGTGCGTAAAAAATGGTTTTAACACCTAAATAGTCAATAATAATATGAATAGATATTTAGAAAATTGTTGCCAAAAGTGACATGAAGTGTCTTACTGTTAGAAAAATGCGCGGGAATAAGGAGTTATCAAGTAGTGGATGGTAGTTACGGTGTTTTATGATTTTTCTAATTGTGTCATTATAATTAGTTTCAATGTACATTAAATTCCTGAGAACATATGTTGAAATTTTGAAATCTTAACGCAGATAAGGGTAGAACGTAAAGTGTAGCTTTTCTTTAATAATAGTAATAGATAACTGGAGCTTGAAATCCTTAAGAAGATAATATAATTCTAAGTTTGAAGGCACGACGGAAGGTGAAGGTTAGGTTCAAAATGAACTGTGATGCATATGCTTATAGAAATTAGAAAGATCATAGAGGGGTGAAGGCAAGCGATCAATATTTGGTTTGGGCTGAAAATGAAAGGGGTGCGTGCCTACGTTTATAGAATACATGTGTATGATGCCACTAATCCCAAAATCTTTCAAACTTTTGGCAAGTGAGAGCAACCTTAGAGAATCTCTGGAGGCAAAAGTAGGCCGAGAAAGAGAAAACTTCCTATTTGGCGTTAGTGGTGAGGCCGCCATCTATTAGGCTTCATTTCTATAACAATAGCCAAAATCAGATTTCTGATAGTTTGCCTAACTTTCTTTGTCCTTTGTTAGGATATTCATTCTAGGAAGTCAGAGTGATTATAATGATTTTACAGGTATGAGTTGTTTGCTCTCATTTTTGTTGCACATTAGCTAAGTTTTCATGTCATAAAAGAGCTACCAGTTTCATATCTTTGGGTAGAATTTAAAACGGGCTATACTTGAACCTCTTTCTCAGTTGTTCACAATTTTCTCACCACTTTATTTCCTTTCCATTGTAACAGGCTTGTATGCGTGCTTTTACGCAGTTTCGTACACGTGGAAAAGGAAATCTGTAGAGGGCCCTATGCAGAATGTCATATAGGGAGAGTTGAAGATGACGCTTGGATTATTGTTGTAGTCGCGATCAATGTGATCGCCTATTTATTAGCGTAGCCATACTTTGCGCACGGAAACACAATAACTGGTTGCAGTGATACACATTAGTGATATGTACATCAAGATTTGTGACATATTAGATGTTACTCGAATTCTATTGTGGCATTGATTTGACAGTTCCCTCGACTAACATTTTGGTTGCAATCAATCCTACTCCTGGTCTATGACATAGAGGACCATGGAACTTTAAGGCATCATCACGTGGATATGACACTTTCCTTATCTCATCACAGCCACAAGAATTTTTCTCATATTTTTCATTAAGTTGTGGCTAATGTTGTCTTTGGCCAGCTTCATTTTTTGACACTTGTCATCAAGATAGTGGTTGAGCATTCACTGTTTTGGTTACCCAACCAAGATTTGACAGTTTCCTCCCTTTTGGCCCACTTTAGATGTGGCTCTTGCTCCCACAAAAAATCCTGGTGTTCAAAGATCTAGCAAATTTCATGATCAAATCTATGACACAAATAGTTTGCGCTTTGATATAGCCTTTATGTTTCTATTATGGCTCTTTATTTGAACTAGAACAAATAGAAATTTCATTTATAATGATCATTTTCTTATATTTTTGATTCATTGGTTTTAGATATATATTTTTGAGTACTTTCATGGTGTGTTTGGATACTAATTCTTGAGTTTTCCTTGCATCATCGATATAGTGGATTTTGTTTTTCTTATTCTATAATTATTCGTTTCCTGAGTTTTGAGTGTTGGGGGTGTTTAGATGATATTGCAATATTCGAGTTTGAGGGTATATAGGGTGTTGGTGTTTTTAATTTTAACAATGATTTTTAAGCTATATATATGTTGATAGGGAATCTTATCCATCAATTTTTCTATTTCTCGAATTTACTTAGAAAGTTTTCGCTACCATATGATACACATCAATCCAAATATCTCAAAGATAGTATTGAATGTATAATATTGCTTTCAAAGCAAAATTAACGGATAAAAATTTGATGACAAGAGCTTCTATCCACTTAAACTTGGTTCCCTTTTTTTATTCTAATCAGACACTTAAGCTTATTTTAGCTTTACTCTATTTTTCTTCTTAATTATTGTTAAGCTTGATAATGAGAAATGTGATATGGAGCTTCAATTTGGCTACAGATACAGATATTTTGTATTCGTTTACCAATCTCAGATACATATATAGATACAGATACAGATATTTCGGTAAAGAAAAACTCATATCAATATCCGATAAAATTGGATATTGATATGAATTTGTGTGCACATATATATGCAAACATACATGTGGATATAAAATATATTTGAGTAAACTAAATAGATTATAAAAAAATATTAGATCTCTTGATCATACAAATTAACTTTAAATCTTTCAATCTAAGGATTAAAATCATTGCGAAAGTATATATTTGGATATTAGGGACATGAATATAGACATTTCATTTCATATCCATATGAATATAGGTTTTTCGTATATGTAATTATAATTTATCGAGTATAGATATTTAGTAATCATATATGTATTCTAATATATCTTGAGATTTTTTTTTCCCCACCCCAAGTCAAGTAGTCATGAACCCACATTCGGATTTATAAAGGAAAACTAAAGTTAATAAATCAATAGCAAAACAAAAAATATTTAAATTGAAGTTATAAAAACATGCGGCCACCCTTTTTTCTCGAGCACGTTAATGGTCCCTAACTCGGACTTATATTTATGCGATATTTTCACCCTCGATTTTAGGACACGTGACAAACAGATAGGAGTAGTGCGGGGATTTAAGGGCGACCGCTGACGTGTCATAAAGCACATGGTAAAAAAAAACTAAAAAAAGGTTCGCATATTCGCTTCACAGACGCAATCCAAGACTACTGGCCGAAATTATATATATATATATATATATATATATTAACTACATATTTTCCACTCATTACACTGTTTTAGCATTTGACGACATGTAAAGTTGGATATTGCACATCAAATTTTGTTTACTTAGCACACATGCATTCCAACACCAATTGTAATGTTTTTTTTTTGTTTTGATAAGTTAAAAAATAGTAATAAACATTACAATTTTTTTGATTGTGCTGATTTATGTATAGTTTACATATGTATTATCTTTTGCATTGATGTTATAGAAGTTTATGCTAATGTTTTGATCGTATGCATTTATATTGTGTTGATGATTTAAATTGGCTGCGAGACACAAATTCCTCTTTCTCCTTATATAGTTTTCATAGTGAGTCATTATCCAGATGTCTTGCTCAAAGCAAACACCAATTTATTTCTATATTTTTACCTAGTTACTCTTTGAACGATAAATAGGGATTCGGATCCTCTACATAATCAGATCCATTGATTATCTAGTTGATAGTTGTGATTTTTTCTTTTAGTGCAAATTAGGCATGAGTGCAATACACGGGGATATGGTAAGTGTTAGATTTAGATTGTATCATAATCGCCTACTAAATAATCAACGATTGAGATTAAAAATAGTGGTCTCTCCACTACTTTTTTGTAGTGGAGAGGATCCAAATCCGATAAATAGATAGCCACGTCTTAATTTTGATGGAGATTTCTGCTGCAAATCATCTCCTTCTGGCATTGATTTGATAAAATTTCCAATCTAAGATTGTATTCTCCGTCCTATCTCATGGTACTCAAAGCTAATTAATAATTCTGGATAAGGAATCTGAGAAATTTAATGGTCAAAAGAAACATTAGCAGATTCCACGAGCGTGACTTTGAGAAGGAGTTTAAATGTAATAAATAAAATTTAAGGCGTCCTTACTTGCAAAACACCTCACGGATAAAGTAGATATTGTCACTCCTAATTCTCTAAACCTACAACTTAACAGTGATTACTAAAACAGCGCTGTTTACTTAATTCCCGGTTTGTGCTCTTAATCACCCGATTAAATCAGAAGCTGGAATTAAAAGCCGGGTGGTTACAGACAGCATCGACATCCACGTGTCCGTTTTCGACGTGGATTTTCAGCCACAGGCACTCAAGTAGTCAAGTGGGCCCCCGAGTTATCGTGGGCCCCACTTTTTATGACGTGGCAACCATCGTTCTTCTTCTCCCCTGTTCTCTCTCTCCTCTCGTTTGCTCTCTTCGTCGTTCTCTCCCTCTTAAAAAAAAATAATTCTTTTTTAATGAATTTGATTGCGTAGTTAATAAAGCGAGAAGTTTCTTACAATGGGTATTCAGGTACCGAATCTTTGATTAATCTTCTTTGTTTTCTCAATTTGAAATCGTTGATTTTAGTGAAGTGTAATGGGTTTCATTCAGTGTTTTTTTTATTTTTTATTTTTTTCAAATTTGGTGTCTTTTCTTGTAGCAGGTACAGACGCCAAGTAATACCCAACTTGTAATTTGAAATTTTCGTGAAATTTGATTTCTTTTTTTTTCCAGGGGAATTCGTTTATTATGATTAGTGCGTACGTGAATTCTTTTGAGGGAGTTCGGTCATATTGTTCGAAATTTCTTGCGTTATAGTCTTTTGTTAATTAGAGTATTTTTAATATTTCCCCCCTTTTTTCGTGAAATTTAAAAATGTATTTTAAATATTTTTTTCCCCCTTCTTTTTATACCGTAAGGATTTGATCATAAATTTTTCATAACAAGATGAAATTTTTCGTGTTGTCGTAAATCCAGATCACCTTAAAGATCGAAATTTATCGCTGAAATTGAAATTTTGAAGTGATGGCTATCCCTGATATTGCCTAACACAATGTATATATCATGCTAGTATTTCTTTCAGTTTGATTCTTGACATGAACAAGAAGAAGAAACCAATATCATGCAGTGATTTGATTTCTCTTTTTAGGAGCACAGCAAGAGTTCGGGTCGAACTCTGATGCATTTGGGCATCCAGGCTTCACCGATGAGCGGGTTTCGAACAAAGGAGCATGGTTCATTGAGAGAAGACCTTGCTCCCAAGGTTTCCACCATGACACAATTCTAAAACAACCCGAAATTTATTTGATAGGGTGAAACTTAATTATCTAGTCCATTTGTTTTGGCCTCTCATCAGGTTAGGAAGCCTTACACAATTACGAAGCAGAGGGAGAGGTGGACCGAGGAAGAGCATGGGAGGTTCCTAGAAGCTCTGCAGTTGTATGGTCGAGCATGGCGACGCATAGAAGGTACTACATTGGGGAACTATATGTACGTCCATAATTCATATCATCTAGCGTTGGTTACGATAGACCCTTTGCAGTATCACCCAGTTGCGGATAAACTCCCTGAGCGCGCTTTCACCCTCAGAGGAGAAAACTTTTTGGGGCTCTATCCGCAATTGGGAGATAGTAAGAGCATCTTCATTTAACCTTTACTAAATGAGGTGACGGCTCATATCCAGTATTTACCCCCCGCTGTGCGCAGACGCATGTGTACGCAATAGGTCTGGTCCTATAATGACCTGAAATTTTTTCTTGCAGAGCACATAGGCACGAAGACTGCGGTCCAAATCAGAAGCCATGCTCAAAAGTTCTTCTCCAAGGTCCTTTACCCTCCCGTTACTAACTATTTCAGTAACAATTTTTGTGCTCATGGGTGATCTTACTAGATTTTAAATAAGTAAAAGCATTCATGAATAACCTGAAATCTAATGAGCAGGTGGTTAGAGAGTCAGCTTCTAATGATACTGGTCACATTAAGGCAATTGAGATCCCTCCTCCTCGGCCTAAAAGGAAGCCAACGCACCCGTATCCTCGTAAAATGGGTAATTTTCCGACCAGTGAAGGCCTAACCGTAGGCAGCAGGTTGGGGATATCCTCGTCATCGAGCCCGTCTCCCTCTGAACACGAGAATGGCTCGCCGACATCTGTTCTATCTGCATTCGGATCAGATACTATGAGTTCATTTCTCTCGAACCTCCCAAGCAACTGCACGTCATCGCTGGGTACTTCTGCTGGTGGATCAAATGAACAAGATGCATCAACTGAGGTAGAGAAAAGAACTCTGATATTCTTTAGGATAGTGTAAAGATCAATCGATTCCTAATAAAATTTATTTTGTTTCGTCTATTCAGCATAAGGAAGCTTCATCAGAGGATGCACGGGTGCCTTGTCTCAAGCTTTTCGGAAGGACCGTGGTGCTGAACTCTAAGTCGTCGCCTAACGCGAACATTAACAGAAGACGAGGTAAAGGCGGCCCTTTGGATATAGAACCCCAAGCTCTACCTCTTCACAGAGGAGCATCAAATGGAGATGTTCTTCTTCCTCCGGATAAAAGCCAAAGCCCGTGGTCTTCGTATGGCGACGCGACGAATCCTATAGAACCGAGGATCACTCTCCCTTGGTGGGGGGCTTGGTATGGAAACTCACCGCTCTCGTTTCTTCATGAGAAAAATCCAAGTTCAGTGCAGTTCGTAGGCCAACCTTGCGATCGAGCAATGCAGAAGGAATGCTCGTGGAGTCATTCAAACACGGCGAGCTTGAAGTTTGCAGGGAATGGAGATGATGGTGATAAAAGAGGGTTTGCGCCCTACAAGAGATGCGTTATGGAGAGAAGAGGAGAGAGTACCCAGGGGATGAGTGATGATGGAGAGGATCAATCAATAGGACTGTGCTTATAGTTTGCAGAATTAGCCCATCTATTTACATAATTTGTGAAGAATGAGGCTGTTCACCATTCTTTTTACGACCGCAAGTGGTCTTTTACATGTTTTACAGTCGTAAGGTATCGATTTATTCGACGCGAACAGAAACATTTTTTTTTCACCATTAATGTTTCGTTTTAACTGTAGATTTTGCTGCTGATGTTGTATTGTATCTAAGGTTGAACAGGAGGGATATTGCAATATTGTACTTAAAACAAAATAAAATTGTTTTTTTTTCCTTTGTTTTACATTCACTATTTTAAGATGTCCAACACAATCAAAGAAGAAAGATGCAATTTGTACGCTGATGTAGTGCTTAAACCTATATTAATGTATGTCTAACATTATAGTATGAAGATAAAAAATACTACAATCAAATGTTAATTACAACCTAACTTATGGGGCAGGCAAAAATTAAATGATATCCACATTTTTGTCTTTTCTAATAAAACATTGAAAAAAAATGACTACAATTTTTGTCTTTTATAATGAAAGCAAATAAGGGCCTGTTCGTTTGTTTTCTAAAAACCAAGAAATGGAAATGAAAATGGTGAAAATCTCAAAACTCACCATTTCCTCCATTTCCATCCCTAAAACTCACCCACAACATCCAATAAAATATTATTTCCATCCAACAACTCATCCACATCATCTAATAAAATATGATTTTCATCTAACCACTCATCCATCACATCTAATAAAATATTATTTTCATCCAAACATCACTCAACTCATCTCTTCTCATCATTTCAAATCACTCACATCATCCAATAAAATATTATAACAATTCACCTCATCTCATTAACATTTCATTTCTTCATTTTCATCCCAAAAAGTTATGAAAACACTTTTCTTAATCTTTCTTCACATCACCCAATAATACAATGACAACTCATCTCATCTCATTTCATTTCTTATTTTTAAGAATGAACCGAACAAAAGAAAACAAGAAACTACAGGAAATAGGTTTCTTATAATTCATTTCCTTATTTTTTCGCCAATGTAAATTGTTTGTCATCATCAAAAAGGGGGAGATTGTTGGCCTTCTTGTTTTAGTGATGTTTAACAAACAATTTACTTCTAATGTTGTTTGTCTAGTGTTTGTGTTTTCGTATTTATTCTAGGCAAACAACGTGTTGGAGGATGGATGGAATAGAGCTTCAACGATCACATCCAAAGGAGGTTGGCGGAATGTCGGTGAAGCCTTGCAAATTCAAAATTAAAGATCAAGTTCAAGCTTCATCCGCATGTGTACTGTAGGCTGTCTAAAAATCACAATAGATAGCTGATCCCCATCAAAACACCGATGATGGAAGTTACA